TCTCCATCAAGTGTGTCACTATAATTTCAAGTGAAGGCCTGGACTCCATCGTAGTGGGATTGTCCAACGGCCGAGCGCGAGTATATAATATGGTCTCTGAGAGGACCAAGGTCGATTATATTCAACTCGAGGTATTCCGCGAGGAGGCGATAACGGCAGTAGCAGCTTTTCGTGGGAGGCGAATTCTGGTGGGGAGTGCCTCAGGCGTGCTCGCATGGACGACGGTCCCGATCGAGAAGTCTCAATCGGCAAGGCTAGCTCGATTGGCCAGCGTACCTCTGCGTAACGGTAAGAGCTCAGCATGGGTGATGGGGATATCGGTGTGCCCAGGGACGGAGGCTTTCTGTGCTACTCTCTCTGGTGGGCACCTGTGGGCGGGTTACATTAGGAAGCAGCCAGCTGTGAGATGTGTGATGCAATCGACGTGGATGGTCAAGGGCCTATCTAGTGCTGTGTGTTTGTCCCATAGTCGAGTTGTAGCTGCTGGTGAGAAGTCAATCTCTCTGTTGAAGATAGGCGCTACGCCGGCACCGCTCTGGACGCATGATGTGGGGTTTGCACCCCTGCGGCTCGGCCTAGTTGGACTTGACTTGATTGGAGTCGTTGGACAGGGGTCTGCGATGAAGATATGGAGGGTGGAGGGGAGCGCTCCTGCAGTGCTGGTGGAGAACATGTGAGTGACCTGGCTCGCGTGGCTCAATCTACAGCTGTTGTGAAGCAATGGCGATCGGGCTGTAAATATTCATAGTGCGTGTGCCTGTTACGGGTTAAATTTATAGCGTGCCTCGATGAAGCTGAGAATTGTCGAACATTCTGAGTCTTAGGCTAGATTAATGCTACATAGCAGAAGTGATGGACTTGCTATGGGACTCTGTGATTCACAACTTCAGAGGGTTTCTAATGATAACGAATCGCTATGGTGGCGGTTGTTCATTCGCGTCGCTAACTGGTATTTGGGAATTCGATCGAAAGCTCATCACATGTGTCATGGGTTGAATGTCTTACATGATAAACGAACCTCTGAGGTCGAGACGGGAGTTTCCTCTCTACCGTTTTATCAGGTGTATTCCTGTGCCGTGGACGGCAGCGGCGGAGACAGGTGCAATACTCTGCAATGGCGAGGGGCAGCAATCGAGTTGCTGGTACACTCATGACGCTATGGTGGCAGAAGTGAGTGCATCTTTGCAGCACTGACGATGATCATGATGATAATTCAGTTGAATCTTTCTCGGTCTACCTTGTGTTGGGGGCAGTGGGTTTGAGAATGGTGAGGGACCCATCTAGCTTTGCGAAATACCGTTCCTCAGAGTTTGATAACAATTAAGAAAATGTTCTCAATGTAATGACATTTACATGGGAAACTGATTGAAGAATATGCTCCTAGCCATACGTGGAAAATTCAAAATGAGTTCGCCCCGGGAACATTATAGGTTCCTGGATGATTTCCAGGATGGTTTCCTGGACGTTCAGACGTTTCGCCTTGGCTCGAAAAGATAGGTATCAACAAACCCTGTGCCCGAAGCAACAACAACCACAACGTGAAAAACTCCTGAGACCCAGGGAACCAAATATGACGGATAACGTCGTAGCGTGTGAAGTAGCATGCATACACAGACTCGAAGCTACACGGAAGATTACATGTGATAGAGCTCTCCGTTAGCAACACCTGCACCGTCTGCATGATGCGGCTCGGCCGAGTTGGACTTGACTTGATTGGAGTCGTTGGACAGGGGTCTGCGATGAAGATATGGAGGGTGGAGGGGAGCGCTCCTGCAGTGCTGGTGGAGAACATGTGAGTGACCTGGCTCGCGTGGCTCAATCTACAGCTGTTGTGAAGCAATGGCGATCGGGCTGTAAATATTCATAGTGCGTGTGCCTGTTACGGGTTAAATTTATAGCGTGCCTCGATGAAGCTGAGAATTGTCGAACATTCTGAGTCTTAGGCTAGATTAATGCTACATAGCAGAAGTGATGGACTTGCTATGGGACTCTGTGATTCACAACTTCAGAGGGTTTCTAATGATAACGAATCGCTATGGTGGCGGTTGTTCATTCGCGTCGCTAACTGGTATTTGGGAATTCGATCGAAAGCTCATCACATGTGTCATGGGTTGAATGTCTTACATGATAAACGAACCTCTGAGGTCGAGACGGGAGTTTCCTCTCTACCGTTTTATCAGGTGTATTCCTGTGCCGTGGACGGCAGCGGCGGAGACAGGTGCAATACTCTGCAATGGCGAGGGGCAGCAATCGAGTTGCTGGTACACTCATGACGCTATGGTGGCAGAAGTGAGTGCATCTTTGCAGCACTGACGATGATCATGATGATAATTCAGTTGAATCTTTCTCGGTCTACCTTGTGTTGGGGGCAGTGGGTTTGAGAATGGTGAGGGACCCATCTAGCTTTGCGAAATACCGTTCCTCAGAGTTTGATAACAATTAAGAAAATGTTCTCAATGTAATGACATTTACATGGGAAACTGATTGAAGAATATGCTCCTAGCCATACGTGGAAAATTCAAAATGAGTTCGCCCCGGGAACATTATAGGTTCCTGGATGATTTCCAGGATGGTTTCCTGGACGTTCAGACGTTTCGCCTTGGCTCGAAAAGATAGGTATCAACAAACCCTGTGCCCGAAGCAACAACAACCACAACGTGAAAAACTCCTGAGACCCAGGGAACCAAATATGACGGATAACGTCGTAGCGTGTGAAGTAGCATGCATACACAGACTCGAAGCTACACGGAAGATTACATGTGATAGAGCTCTCCGTTAGCAACACCTGCACCGTCTGCATGATGCGGCCGGCACGTGATGGACGTCACCATTGGCGGCGTCTCAAACTGTATATGCGTGCATGTCTCCTCTGGATCCTAGTTACACAACTGGGCTGTCCGAGGATGTTTCAGATGAGGAGGAGGTCGACAGAGTCTACAACTTGTGGCTCGTGAGCCTGCAAGATTGACTTGACAAGAGTGTTCTAGAATTGTACGGTTTTGGTGTAGCCACCTACGATTGAAGCTTTTCGATACCTCCCTGCTGACTGCCATTCATGCTACATCGATATGTTCATACTGTATGAACTATACAGATGAAATGATAACATCCTAGTAGGACTTGGGAAATGCACGCTGTGGTAGTGGGTTACTACCAGTGTATCTGATGTGTGGACGAATGTTGGGCTCTCAGTCTGGGAGTTATCAGTGATAACCTATCACAGGAACTACAGTTGAGTCTGACGGCGCTGCGTCCTTATTCACAGTAACACTCAATGACCGTGCCTGTAAGCTGACAAAATGTCATCCGTCTTCATAGAAGCAGTTCGCGAGATGTTCTGAGCATCGAATTGTCGTCACAGCTGCTAGTAGCTGTCGAACTTTCTTCAGGGAATCAGTTGACTCATCGTGTAGTTGTTAGTGGACGATTCCATTATCATCAAGGGTTGTAATTGCTGCCGCATAGTCTCGGGAAAAATCACACAATACTTGTGAGGATACGTCGAGTCGCTGTGTGACAAGAGCTAGATGTTGAATAACCTCCCTCGCCGTTTTGAGTACCCAGTCAGTTCAAGAGCCGACTATAGTTGATGATGAAGTTTTCTTGTGATGATAGTTGTTATCGAAAGTGTCCTCCTCTACAACAGCGGTAGACTTGAAGACTTTCCTCTCGGCGCCCATCAAGCCCGAGGCACCAGTTGATTCTGGTGTTGCCAACGCTACTACTTCCCTCCAGGAGGTGGCGTTTGCGAGGAAGCCTAGATGCCTCGTGTGAGTATCGTATTATCGCCTCTCAGCTATCATGATTCAGTATTGTTGTTGGCAGATATCTCATCCGTCGTCTTGGCTGAGGTTTATGCCAGTACGCAGCCTTAAGACTCTCAGCAATCGCCGAGGTTAGTGCTATGGTTTGGACTCCTATTCCATAATGTGGTAGATGTTGGCTGCGGACTTCAATTGTGATCATGTTCTAGTAACATGGCAGCAAGGCGATAAGGATGCCTTGGACAATTACAACGATGCTAAAGTAACTCTACGTGTTGTTAGTCGTTGTAGTGATCTCGAGGTGTTTAGGTATCTGATCCTACTCGTCTTTATTCTGCTTCTGATGATAAACTGTAACGTCGTGTACTGTCCATGTATTATCATTCTTGTCGTCCACAGATACCGGGCCTGTCATGCTCACGGTTGTTGGTCTATGATGAAGACTCTCACCCAGCGGGAATTTCTGAGCGGTAGTTTTTTCAAGGTATTGGAATATTCTTTTTTTTGTTTTACTCTGTTGACCTCAGAAAATGGGTAGCTTCAACCACAACTATAAGGGAGGTAGCCTCAATGGTTCTGCTGTAGTGATCCTTGAGAAAACTAAGAATGGTGAAGCAGTAGATGTTGTGTAAGGCTTCAACATCAATGTTGGCTGCAGTATTATGACTGTTTATAGGTATTCGGTTGTTAATAGCGAATCACTAGATGCCAGTGGTGTGGTGAAGGCTCTCGGTGGGAGTGAGGATCAAGCTTCCCTGGCGGCTAAGAAGGCCGATGAAGCTGTTGACAAGTGAGGCTCTCCTCGCGCATTCGCGTTAATTACGTGTTCATCATTGATTATGCTAGTTTTGTTGTGTCCTTACTTTGCTCATCGTTGTGATCGTACTCTAGTTGTTCTTAATGGCTACTGTTGCTTGTAGATCGTTCCTTTCCTTAGGTATACATCAGAACGTGGTTAGGAATGGAATGGTCCTGTTGACGGAGAGTATTAGATCGTGTTTCGAACGAATGAAGCGACTCAGTGAATTCCTATGGAAGCTGAATCGATGATGATGTCTCGTTGCACGAGTATTTTCTACTCTTCCGTTTTCGGTCATCTATCCAATCAACTTATTTATTATTGATCTTATTTAACTTTTCACGCTGTTGAGGATTGAGTTCCGCTCGAGTTTGGATGGGGTATTGGGTGCCGATTTGAACGCTTCGTTGAACGTTGGTAATCGCGTTAGTGGGATGGCGAATAATTTTCAAGTCGTATGTTGGTGGTCATAAAGGTATCCATGTGTGTTCCAAAGTGGTTTTCCTATCCAAAGCAAGGTATTAGTATTTATAATCAAACTCTACTTGATTCGTCAAATTTGTACGCGGTGTATTTTATATTCTTGAAATAAAATCATATGTGATAGTGCCGAGATTCGAACTCGGGATCTTGCGAAGTCGAAGTGTGAACAATACCATTACACTATAAAAGTAGTGATTGTGTAGATTTTTCTTTCCCTTACGATGTCTCGTCACGATATTCGTGTAGACGATGTAGTTATCCCGTCTCTTCTCATAAGCCAGGCGCGTGAATATTCGTGGAACCGTCTATATTCTGTAGTTTTTTTCTCATCAATCTCCCGCATATTGGTCCTCTCCCGCAATGGCTCATCGAAGGGTTAAGAATATAGACTATGATGAGGAGGAGCACGGCTATTATGATGAATATTATGACTACGAGGATTATGGCGGTGACGGTGACTACTGGGACGCCGATGGTGGGAACTGGTAATGATATTTTCACATTGTTAACGAGGTGTCCGAGAGAAGATCCTCAAACACTGCTTGCCTTTACCGTGAATAATCGTCGGTCTACAGTACGTGGCAATTTGATATGCAAATGTGGAGAATGCTGGTTTTCAATTCCGGAATTGAGGATTGATTGATCGCTATCATAGTCTTTTTCATCACAACTTCATAGCAATGTTGACATTCATTTCGGAGAATAGCGCTCATTATCTACCCTTGCATATCGGATCTAAACGTATTGTACTTCGATACGTTCCCTAGGGCGGCAGCGCTAGACCCCGGTTACTATCATCAGGTCCTACCAAGGTCAACCTAAATCGAAGCCTAAGAGCAAGGCAAAAGATGTCAAGGGTGAGTAGTGAGGGTTACTCTCTATCACCCCATTATTGCAATATATGTTCGCTTCCCGCAGTTGAGCTCAGGAGCTTACTCGCAGTATGAGTTCACATACAAATTGGGTTAGAAATGTACAGAAATCAGCAAGAATTTCTCGAGGTTCCTCTGGAATATTCATGTTGTCACCAATACGCACTGTTGAGCATGTGCTATCTCCTCCCTAGTGCCTTCCCATAATCGGACCTTTTCAATATGTGATCACTAGTTATAGTAGTTATGTAAATTACTGAACTAGTGCAGTAGAGGTCGTACAGGTAAAGCTGGCAGGCATTCCACCAAAACAGTCGATGCAACGAAGAATCACCATGCTCCACTGAATGAGACGCCAACGGCAACGGCAGCAGCAGCATCAATAGGTATTATCGGTTCGGGTGGATGGGTCTATGGAGGATGTATCGTCGTGATGGTCGGAAGGTATTCAATTTTCCGAGGCATGGATGTATTCATCCCCACTGTTGCGATTTTGCGTGACCGTTCTTACGGGTTTCCACAGGGAAATTAAAGTGTAAGAGGATTGTTAACATTTTGAAATCGAATAGAAAATTGCGAGTGTTATGAGCGTTTTTCGATGCTACTGGTTGTGGTGACACGGGAGAGTGCTAAATCCGGCTCCGTTTCTAATAATCATTCGTGGGAGTGTTGATGAAAATCTTCATATTATTGAACGTTGGGGAATTATCACTATTTGGGGTTGTACACTAGTTCGCATGATATGATAGGTCCTGCAGAGCGTATGAAGAGTCATGATGAAGTCGTTGAGGAGGTCCAAGGACGAGTGAAGGATGTAGGGCTTCTGCCCAAGGGAAGGGTGAGGGTCCCTCACAGAGGGAACCCAGGTTCGATCCCATGCGAGGGCGTTATTATTTCATGGCAGGTGCAGCAGTTAGTGCGGCAGTCATCTCGGTCGTTATCTCGGGCGGAAGAGCTAGTGAAGCAAGACGTGGAGGAGATGAAATCGAATAAAGAGGAGATGATGACACAGGTATCTGAGGTTCTCGTGCGGAAGATACAAAATAGGTCGGATACTGTCCATCAGGCTCTGCATATTCCTAAGATGTGTCTGGTCGTTGTTGGTCACGTGGATTCCGGCAAGAGCACTTTGATGGGACATCTTCTAGTAGAACTAGTGAGTATATATACCGTTGCCGGGGATCGAACCCGGGATCTCCCATTATCAGGGTAACATATCATCACGAGAGATGCATCGGTTCACTAGAGATGCCGCAGCATGCGGTAAGCAGAGCTTCGAGTATGCCTGGGTAAGTTGGACCTCTTCCCACAAACGTCACGCGTTCCCTCTAGGTGTTAGATGAAGGCTCGGATGAGAGGGCGAGAGGCGTTACCATAGACGTTTGTGTTAAACACTTCACCACACCTAAGGGGACTAGGGTGATGATAGCCGTTGAGGTTATCACCTCCTCATGTTATAGTGTAGGTAACTCTTCTGGATGCTCCCGGTCATAAGGATTTCGTCCCCAACATGCTCCTGGGAGCAGTCCAAGCGGACTTCGCTATAGTGCTGGCTGATGTGAAGGACTTTGATAAAGGATTCACTCGAGGGGGTAGTACAGTTTCGTTTATGCTTGTGATATTCTCATTACCTGGCTGTTGGGATTTTGTCACGCGCCACGAAATTGCATGTGCGGCTGACTATCGTGAAGAACATTCAGGTCAAACCAAGGAGCATATAAGGTTGTTGAGAGCCCTCGGTATCAACAGGATTATAGTGGCCATCAATAAGATGGATCTAGTCGGTAGTGCCGGGTGATTGTAGTACTGGTTAAATGCCTAGTCTCGTGTAACAGTATACTGTTTACCATTATACTTATTGAGATCTGTGATCGGACTTTGAAGTGGAGGGAGATTGAGGAGTTTGATGTCGGATTGAGCACAGTTTATATTATGTTAGTCTTTCCAATACTGGTTGTCTCTGTGGGAAAATTGGTTCGGTGGTATAATTCGCAGTTAGATCGTATTGCTCCCAGGTTCGATTCCTTGTCGAAGTATAGTATATCGTCTCCTCGATCAGATTACTCCCAAGGTCCTTATAACAGAGTCCGTGATGAGCTCGAGAATTTCATAGGAGGGGAGTGCAGTTTTAAAAGCCACAATGTTTCCTATGTAGTGCATAGAAGGACTAGCGAGCTCTGGGTAGGTGCGTCTGTTCTAGATACCAACGGCGGGCTTTGTCGGAGAGAATCTGGTGACTCGAGAGAATCCCAAGCTAATGTCATGGTGGCAAGGTAAGCTGATGCGGATGGGAACACAAGTGGTCTTTAGTGAGTGTTAGCCGTGGAATGTACGAGGTATCGCGATGTCCTATCCTCGGGCAGTCAGGGTTGCCTTTTATGTGAATTGTGACCTTGAGAACAATGTTAGATTGCCATAGGTTCGTGTGTGATTTTACGCTCTCTTTGATATGCGTCCGCTGCTCTGATGGTGATGATGATGATCATTCCCTGCTCACCTACAGCAGTTTGATCGACATTGCTATCGTGATGGTCGCCTGTTCCCACGCTTTTCACTGAAAAGTTTTCACCGGCCGCTATAGTGTTCACTGTAGCACATAATCAATTGGAATGCCGCTGGATATTATGTCGGTATTTTGTCGTTGACATCTGTAGTGTCATGAATGCAAACGGTTTCATTATCCAGTGATTCACATGATAGTAGTATTCCTTCCGGTAGGTGACACGTTGGTGACAGCTATCGACAAACTTGCAGAGTCGGCTTCTACTGATAGTGCTGTTGCCACGAAGGCATCGCTCTCTGCTCCCTTGAGGATAGCAGTGGCTGATGTATACAAGTCCAGCAGTGGGGCTCAGGTGAGGATATCTGAGGTTCAACTTGGCATTATCCTTTGGCAAGCACGCATGTTTTCTGTCAGATATCAGGTCGAGTTGAGCAAGGAACATTCAAGAGCGGGCAGAAGATCGTTGTGCTTCCTGGTCGGGGAGATGACTCGAGTGTGTGTACAATCAGAAATGTGTAAGCTGTTGTTGAACTGGTTTGGAGGCACTTGCGGTGGTCATCATATTAAAACACCCTCAGTGTCTATTACCCCTTTCTATAGTGGAAGGTTATCGCTCCTTACTTACTGTGAAAGTTGCGGTGGCCATAGTAGAGTCTATCTTCAAATATGGCATCGTATTATGCTTAGTCGCTCTGTTCATCTCCATCATTTCTATACTTTTGTCAACGCACGAATGCCGATTAACCGAGTACAGGATGAGCAAATTATAGATACCGTAATGGTGAAGACGTACAGATGAGTGTTAATGCTGAGGGGTACCCTGGAGACTATATCGATCTAGCAACACTGCAAGGTGAGGAGGATACCCGAGATATTCTTTAGCACTATCTTCATGCTCATAGGTGTGGACCCGTACATGGTCATCAGAGGTTCGGTGCTCTGTGCTGCTGCTGCCAATAGCACAGCCTGCCAAGTCTCCACAGTCATACGAGCTAAGATTGTTGTTTTCGATACCTCGGTACCGATCGTGAAGGGTCAGCAGGTGAACTAAGGGGAGTATTAATCGACTTGTTGGGAATGGTATCTTTCAGGTCATGTTGTATGCTCATGCGTGTGTGGAATCTGCAACGGTAACTAGATTCGTTAGGCTCGAAGGGAAGAAGGCTCCACCCCCAGGAGTTCGTGCTAAACCCATCAAGTAAGCTTCGACTCAGCTCGACAACTGTTGGCAACAACGATAGGACGTGAAGTTCATGCTGACTTTTTTTATCATCCTCTCATTACATATTTGTCTCGCGTGTTTATATCATTTCTTGATATATCCTGATATTCTATCGTGTTCTCCCTGACCATTTGAACTCAAGGAATCCACCTCATTATTGGACGCTGTTCTGAGCTGAATTCGTATAATTTCGAGTTCCGAATTTGAATGACTGTAACGATTAGATTGTCAGGTGTTTGACCAAAGGGGATTGTTGCACAGTGGAATTGACGTTGCAGCATCCGATCTGTACGGACCCTATAGGTAACACAACATCTTGGCGCTGTACTTTCAGTTGTCATTTGAGCTCAGGCCACAAGGGGTCGCTTGCCAAGGCAACGAGTTTGTCGAGAGTCGTCTTACGTGACCGGGGGGAGACTGTTGCAGCAGGATTGATAGTTTGAATTATACACACTTTACTATACATTTCCTGTCACATTGCTCGCTATTCTCGAATATTCTCCTGGTTATCGCTTATAACAGACTTGCATCGCGCTGAGTTGGACACTCCAGTAACTGTCACCTTTCGTGGTATGCGATGTGACAACATTCATATTTCCTCGCCAATACCGAATTCCTCGTGCTAGGGCAGTTCGTGTATCATTTCACCAAGGATGATTGCATATTGGGTTGAGAGGACTGTCTCTCACTAATCACTATAAGCAAGCTTGAGTTCGAGGTACTGGACAGACTACGGAACTAAGCCAAGTCAGAGTCTCTGGTATCTTGCGATGTTGCCAAATGCTTTAGTGGGAATCCATTGCCCGTTCCAATGAGCCTTCCGCGAGTGTACCTTAGTCTCATGAAAGAAGCATGTCCATGAAACATGAGCACAGATTGAAAATCAGAAGCACCTCTGGTCACTGAGTATTCACGACACAAAACGTGCGAACTTGAAAAAAGGAAGATACAGTTATGATTTGCAAGTTTCGCATCCAGCACCGCTGAATGTACTATTAATGCCAATGTTTCGATAAAGATCGTAACGCCTTGCTGAACGATGGGCTCTTCCTTTTACGATGCCTTGATGCTCTATGCGACTTCGACGAACTCCTACGTTGCTTCCTAGACTTCATCCCATCCGGGCACTTGCGGTAAGCTGTCTCTGCTACGGCGAGAAAGACGTCCCAAACTCCGTCACCGGTCTGCGCTGAAGTGGGATAGAATCCTAGGATTGGGTTCATCGAGGTTAGGGAAATCCCCGAGGTAGCAAAGGATGTGAAGAGCTGAGGAGAAGCACACATGTCGAGGGCCGAACGGGAGGTGCCCCTGACTCACAGCTGGCCCGTCATCGGGAGTGTGGTCACATAGATCAGATTTATTACCGGCAAAAGCTACCGGTATGTTGGGCTCATTGGTGTGGATGAGATCGAGCATTCTGAAGGATCGGCGAATGCACAACAGAACAGTCTTCAAGAGCCTACTTGTGTACTGATGTATAGTTGCTTTCCATCTCGCAACAGTTCTGATCATAAACGATAACAGCTCCGCTAGCTTCATGCAGGACATGTGGTATCATGCTCAACAGGTTGTCCTCGAAATTAATCACGCAAACCTATCATACTATCAGTCGCTTTATCCTACGGTCAACTCGTGACCTTGAGCATTATATGAACTCCTGGAGGTACCGGCACCATCTTTCGCATGAACGTCACACCAACTGCATGCTGCTCTGTGTCATCATCATCACAGATGCAACTGAGGGGAAATTGATGGAGTCGCAATTTCCAAACTGAGCCAGCAAGATACCGATCCTTCACAAATCGATGGACCAGGCAGTTCTTCCCAGCAGATGGTGTGCCGATGACCACGATCTTGTATTCCGACAAATTGGTCTGTCCGGATGGCTCAGAATCGGAGGACGATTCAGTAGAGGAGGAAAGGTCCACCGCCGCACTTGGGGTAGATTCGTGCGGGCTTCCTCGTGGGGACGTGGAACTCATTGTTAACACTGCAAGAATGCCTCACACCGATAGAATCGCCTCAGAGACGACCTCAACAGCATCATCTTAGTTCCGGTACCATATAAGTGTAATCAGTATTAGAATTTATGTTAGCTCTCCTCAGCTGGGCTCAGGAGTTTCCTAGATAATTTCAAGAGGTCACACATGAAACCCGCTAGGAGTGTTCAGAAATCAACAGAAATTCCCGAAATTTCCTCAGAATTTTCCTATTGTCACCAACACAATGTGTTGAACACATGTAGTTGACCATGTGCATATTTTTCCACACTGCGTGTAATAACCGATCGAGATCGACGGAGATTGCCGGGAGCCTCCCCCCCACAACACAACAGAATCGATGGCAAAAACGTAGTCCCCTCCACACACAACACATTCAATTTTGCACATCATCTTAGCCGAAGAACTCAACGATAATTCGATGTTCTTTCTGCAGCTTCTCAATAGAGACATTACCAACTACTTCGCGGATCGTAGCCAGAACCTGAGGGAAGTTTACGCACACATATCTAGTCGAGATCCGACCTCCTTGCACATGGTAGTCTGCCCACATATCATCACCACACCCGGACGCTCGGTAGAGTTCACCGCATCCACTAAGGCCGTGCGGACGGCTTCGGAAGATCGCAGGACCTTAACAACGATGTAGAGATAATCTAGTGGACGGTTTGTTGGTTCACATCCTGCACATGCCGCTTTGGAAGGTACGGCTCCCGTGATAGGGCCAAGTGTAAATGGATGCTCTCATGTTCAACGAGCTCAGCTTCATATAAGATATCTCCCCGAGTGCGACAACCGAACACTAGGTGACATTCCGATGCGGTGGTAAGCTCAGAAAGCATCGCCCTGAAATATACTCGTGATGAAGATGGAAGACCGTTGTCCAAAATATGCTAGATGGTGTGGATCGGAGTGGTTGTTGTTGTTGTTGTTGTTGTTGCTGCTCACCTAAAGGGGGCGATGCCAGCACCAGTGCAGACCATAACGATAGGGCCCGGGGGTAGGGGCTTTGGTAACTTGAATGCGGAGGGTCGAATCGTCAACCAGCTGAGATAAAAGAGGTTACTTATATAACGTGTGCACAAGTGGCAGCAACAGATACGTTGAGGACAAGTCGACTCACATGTCGTCGCCGACTTTGATATTCCTACATAAATAGGAGCTAGCGACGCCTGTATATGCTTCTCCACGAGTACGAGGTTTTTTTATATGGCCCAGTTCTCGATCGAGTAATGTGACCCTACACGAATGCATAAACTTTGAGGGTAGTGTGGAAGGTATAGCATTCGATAGTAGGGAGCAGCATATGCCAGCTAGACCTGATGGGCGGATATTCTCGACATTGGCGCGCCTGAGTAGATTCCGGTTTGGAGGTTGTGTGGACTCACCGGAGGTCTCCGGGTTGGCTCCGGTAAAACTTCTCAATCTCTGTTTGGTACAAATCTTAGCGAAATTCACAAAACCGATGGCTGATGGATCGACGACGAAAAGGTTGAAGAATTCCACAAGGGAAAGATGAACCTAGTCATACCAGTGTGAGAGTATACATTCTCTTTCCTCAGCCGAGCTCAGGGGTTTCCCCACAAGTTATTGGAGTTTACATATAAATTCGGTAGAAGTTTACAAAAACCATAAGAATTCCCTGTAGTTCCCTCGAAACCGTCAGACTGTCACCAACACACGTAGTTGACCATGTGCATATTCCCCCACGCCGAAGATGAGATATCAGTAATCGAAAGGACTGACCCCAACGCCGTCATACAGATCCAAGCTGAGGGGGGTATATCACATGGAAATGCCACGAGGCCAATATGTCGTCGATGGCCATTGGGTTTCCTTCACAACTATTATAGACACACAAACAGCAGCAAAGACCGTATCCTTGGAAATTGAGTCCAAGAGGTTCGGGAAGGTAGGACCCCACCAGGACTTACATTGGGAGAATGCATCTGCTTTTGGAGCCCGACCACTTCTTTCAATGCAGGATCATACCCGACTAAGGCCGAGATCATCTGACGGCTAGGAGGGGATCGTAGGTCCAAGTAACTGAGAATCAGTAGCCATTGTCGGGCAACTCACTCACAGGTATGCTTACTAAAGCAGGACATGACCGATTGTTGATGGGACAGGGAAAGGGCATCTGAAAGATGACCACTAACGGTAGAGTATAACCGCCGACCCACGCACGACCCTCATCTCGAATTGTTGTGTTATCAGCCGAAACCAGGGAGAGTGACGAGAGCGAGAAAGTAAACAAACTAAAGGGCGGCGGCGAGTCGGACAATGGGAGTGATCCTGCCCGTCTAGGCATTGACTTCACGACACATAATCTAGTATCGGGAGGATGCCATGCTACAGCACTCAGAAAATTACATGAGAATGCATTATTTGACGAGGCCTTGAATGATATACTATGCAACGACATGGTTAAGAGATATATTCTCTGAATCAATTCTCTGATGACCGCTGTTCACAATTGTGGCCGCTCAGAAGTCACATTCACCCGTGAGTGGTAGGCAGGTTTAGTACCAAGAGGTAGTAGCACGTCTTACTTCCCATCAATAGGCTTGAAATCGACCCAATGATGGAGCTTGCCAGCTAGCCCGAAGGCTTCCACAAAGTATTCAATATCCTCTCGAGAGTTCGTCGGGAGGACTTCGATGGTGTCAGCAGTAGAGTATCTAATCGAACATGGGCACCGGCAACGGGACAGGCCGATGGGAGTGTGATGACATGAATGAGACCTTATTATCATCACCTCCTTCACACTCCTCGGTTGGTGAAAGGGTAAACAATATGCGGGGACCAATTGAGTGTAGCAACAACTGTATGTTCAATAACCCCGAGAGCTCACTTCATTCCCTTTGGAATCTCAACATCGACATGGACCGCTCTAGAGCCCATCTTGGTCAACGATACAACCTTGGATCTGCTGCACTTGAATATTGCCTTTGATAGAGTATCGTCACCATCAATGAGCTCAGCTGAAAGAACGAAAAATCACATCCCCATTAGAACCACATACATCATGGTAATCGTATGAAGACGACCACTCATGCTGATTCTGCTCAATGCGACCTTCCTAAATTCAATCCCGATATCCTCCACCAGTCAATTGGTCTAGCTACAGAGTTGAAGCCTTTTCGGTTGGCATCAGATTTGTATAGTGAATTGCTCTGCTCCTCGTCATTATCAATGACCCTGACCCACTTCGATGATCAAGCTTAGGATATCCCTCATATATACACCCGATATCCTCCTCCTCCTTCCCTTCACCATCAGCACCCACTTGAAAAGCATCACATGGGACGGCGGTGCGGAGGTCCTCTGATGACAACAGAGCCGGGTTACCATTATTTGAGTAAGATGATAGAAAGCATCGGAAGTTAGTCTTACTGGCGACCTTTTTCAGCTTCTCGAAGACCCCACTGGTGTCGATCCACTTCCGGAAGTCCTCCTCTATGTCTTGGCAGTCATCACCAATGCCTCTAAAGTGAGAAATGTTCCCACCCGGAATTGAACCCACGACCATGTGCTCGTACCTCTCCAGCATTTTAGTTGCACCCACTCGTTGCATGGCCGCATCGCTCCGCCGAGCCATCCCATTAAACTGTATATAGTTCAGATCTCCAAGTCCAAAGATACAATAATGGAGGCCCGAAAAAGCATCTTTCTGAGGACACCTTCGCATCGGACTTGATACTCCGAGTACTAAATCTCACCGGAGTAGTCTTATGGTTAATATACTTATCAAATTTCACCGCGTTATCAGTCGGGTCTCCCTCCCCAGTAGTAGCTAGTATCAGAACCTGCCCAGTTTTCATGTAAAATTTCCGAGCTCATCAACCCCAGAGACCTCGCAGTGCTCACCACTATCCTGTGGCCTCGGAATACTTCTGGGTCGAAATCGGCCAAATCACAAACCTTATTGGGTATTTGCTCTGCCGTCGCCTCCTCCCCTACAACAGACCACGTGAAAACATAACAACATCATCGTCATCGACAACGGCCAATAGTCCTTCCTCCACATTCTACGTCAACAACAACTTTCAGAATCGGCTCTGGTCCGCAGTGTGCCATCTGTGAACGCACATCGGAGTTTTGATTCACGGTTCATTTCGAGAGATAAGCAGCAATTCTCATGAGAAGAATGCCATGCATGACGATGATGAGGATATTCCTAACCCCACATGCTGCTGTTGGTGCTACTACTACTACTACTACTACTACTACCAAACTGCATGGCAAAAGCCTCCGCTGTCCCCGTCTGCGAGCCGAAGTATATGTAGGTAGTAGCTGAAAGGTAACTACTATTCCCGAAACGACACCACCAACTATACAACAACTCGTGCATTCGCGTCGCAATGCTGAACTTTGCATATTCCCTCTAGATATCTCGTCGCTATTGAGCCAACAAACAACACATTCGCTTATACGAGGATTGGTCCCAAGTAATCGTCATAAGCAACAACACGCTAGGTGAATAATTCGTCCTTTAGATATGGCCCTTATGAGGTATCCTCACTGTCTGTAGCACATGTAGCTGCTCCTACTCCCTTACTATCCACTGTACTATCCTCACTGTCTTTACAAGGCGAGTCCCGAGTTGACGAATTTCGGTGGATCTTAGGCATGCCAGGGTTACAAAAACAAATGCATCAATAGCGATAAAAGCTCCACCCTGAGCCGAACGATAGATACCCCCATCACCAACACTCGAGAGTGGTAAAAACGTTACCAAGATAGGCAAACTAGTTCATACATACTCAGTGATGGAGGATGCTACTGATGGGTGAAGTTTCGATTCAAGTTTGGAATGAAATTCTAATCTCTATTGGGTTCGCATCTCGAGCTGTTGATAACGAATACGCTGTCCGAACGTCAAAGGTATCCTCCAATGAATGACGCTCACAGACTCCTTCACAAGTGCCAGAAGTGTCATCAACCTTAAAAGTGTTTGGTCGAATAGCCTCGTCCTCTTTGAAGGGTAAAGACTACTACCGTACCCCAATGCTGAGGAAACCCCTTCTATTAAACTGAACCACAACACCCAAAAAGGGACCAAAACCCGCCCATGGCGATGAGAAAAAGGTAACAGTCAACTTGAAAATAAACCCCATGAATCATCACTTGACATTTTACACTCCCGCTTCCTTCGACAAGTCGTTGTGGCCTAAACACCAAACATCATCATCACACTCCTCACTGAATGCTTTCCTCCCACCTTTTTGTGAAGGCATCACTGATCTTGTGGATGCCTCTTGACCATTCTCAATGCCTGCGATAATAACTCGTACCCCGACCCATGCTCATCTCCCCTTCTCTGAGTTGCTGTTGCTGCTGCACTCACCTGTGACATGGTTGGGATCCTTCTTCCCTTTTGACCCCACTCCAGGTGCTAAGCAAAAAGCAGAGGAGTCCTGCTTACCTAAAGAGAACGCCTGGTAAGCATCGACTACGACGATGATCAATATGGGACTGCCCAACTTACTTTTCGATGACAATGTCGAGCGACCGGATACTGGGGAGCTTTCATATATCACCGGCAAGGCTCCAACGTTTGCAGGAGATAGGTCCTTCAGCAAAGGGGTCTGAGAAAGAACCATGCCAGGGGTGGAACCAGGGACCTTCCGCATGAGACTATGAGATTTTAACCAACTACTCACCCTGAGTGATGTAGATTCCTTGCCAATATGCCATGTTGGTGGACGTGTAGGCTTCGCAGCCGCCGGCGATGACCCTATATCAGCAACTGTTCCAGTCTTGATTCACTATTAAGAGGTTATGGCTTACTGCCAACTCCATTGGGAGGCTCAAGGTCGATCGATAACAAAGCGGTCGGGGTGGAAACCCTGATGCTACGACCATGCGGGGACATAGGACTGGCGGCAGGAAGGAATGATCAATAACAGCGATGCCTCCGAGGAGGAGGAGGAGGAGGAACGGGGATGACAGCAAGACACGGTTCAATTCGAATCACTCAAGCCTCTATTTCAGTCCCATACCACCGCTCGAGTAGTGGTCGTATGCACAAGTGCAATAGCAGAGCCAAGGGGAGGGTCGACCCACTAATCAACAACGACAGAGAGAGGGCACCATAGATGTGTTGTGATCCTCCCAAGCAAGATATGAAAACACACGGGAAGTGAAGGGAGCAGCAGACGTGAGTATTTTACCTCTTCAGCTTGGTCCCTATGGAGGATGGGAGATGTAATACTGGCTGTAGCGTCATCACTGATATGTCGCTCTCATCTGACACAACATCATTCATATCTTGCAAAGTCTACCCCATGATATCCTTCTCAACATTTGATAGAGTTTCAAACGAGTCTAGGGTTCGGATTTTTTCGCGCACTCAAAAACGTTTACCTTGTATATCATGTTTGATCAACCTCTCAATCACGTCCTCAAGTGTGATAATCCCAGCCATATGAATGTTGCATGGAATTGGCTTGTTCTCGTGAATGGCTTGGATAACCTACCAAGGTGCCCCGATGTGCATAAGGTCGTATAAAGATCCTCCTGCACGCATGCACAACTCACTCTATTCGGATCATTAGTCGCTACTGCTAGGTGACTCCTACCAGTCGAAAATTCATAAAGCATGTCTAGCAGAGTGGTCTCCATATCACAAATCTGCCAAACATGAATCGCTTCGCTCCGCCCTCACCAAGCTTGACAACCCACCATAGGCTCTAATAAATCTGTGTTTCCTATCCGAACTTCATCTCCAGGATTCAAGGTAATCAACCGTTTAACAAGCAGCATGCCATGCACCTGTCCAACGACCTCATTCAGAAGGTCCAAGGTTCCATTCCCACAGCGCGTGTTTTTACATTGTGTTTATGGTCCTGATAGATCGGCAATCGAGAGTGTCCCTTCTCCACTATATCCTGTAGTGTCTTGGCATCTAGAGGTTGGTCAGCTGAGTACATGGCCACCTAATTTTTCAGAAACCGTGCCGCCCCACTGTAAATCGATTTCAAAGTGGAATATACAGGTAGCCATAGCCATCTGCAGGCAAGCCTCCGCGTGGTATAAACATGCTAAACTCCCCTTACTAGTAGCACACAACAATGACACAGCTCGTAGAAGTCATGAAATCCGGGTGAGCTCATATTAATCTCCCAGTATTTGGCGACCCCCCTCACTACCTGATCCAAGGGCGTCATCACATCCTTCACCCTCAAGCGTTGTAGTTCTAGTGCGCCTTGCATCATTCGGAGCTCTTCCTTCGTGATGCCTCCACGGGAATGTAGTTGTACCTTCATAATGGCAAGAGGGGAATAACCAACTCTACGTGGTAAACAGGTCTAGTAGGGAGCTTTCATTCTAGTTTAAAGCCCCGATGAACCTCGTGCCCGCACCCTAGGCTGGACCACATTCACAAGCAGTTCCATAAATACCCTCACCCTCTCAAGTATACACAGCCGCATACTTGTTGTCATCATCATCAACAAGAAAGGTATCACAAGTATACGTCTATTCACCTCGATTCGAACCCACGCCCTCCCCTAGTACACGATGATGGACTTCACCTCTCCCTGTTGGACCGCCTCCTCCCATTGTCGTGTGAGCATCCGATGGAGACGATTGGTCGCTTCCTCCAGTCTCGATATCAATCTCATCGGTCTGAGGCAAGTACCACCTTCAAGCTGCACTGGAGAATTGATTTTCTAGAGAGAATATATATTCGAAAATGACCAGAAGAATCTTGGATAGCCACCAAATATCGTCAAATCACCCTCACCGGGGTTCGAACCCGATACCTCAACATTACCTCATAATACTGATGTAAATTGAGCGAAGCTTTGAACTCCGCCTTATTATACCGCCCTCTATGCTCCTCCCCTAGCATCTTATCGAGGCACCAAGCGACTGGTCCAGCAATAGGGTAGAGGACCACCATAAAAAACCTGGATCAAACCCGACGGTAGAGACACTTCTACACAGCCTAGTGGCGTTTCGCGGTTATACAGGCTTAGAATATTACAGGAGACAAAGATCCCACCTCCCGTGAATTTTCGGTGTGTGAGGAAAGTGAACCGTATAAGGGAATCGCCCCCATACTCCATTGTACGGTTCTTTCTATATAGTTAAACCTCGTCAAGCGTCGACTCCAGACTCGAGGAGTTATGACTATAGGGTGAAATTGGTATAAAGAGAGACGTGCTGGCAGATTCCAATCACACAGTGTTTCCGCCGGCAATCCATGGTCCCACTCGGCCATCATCATTTGGCCGGGGAACGGTAAAGCTGGTGGGGACGCCACTGCTATTTCTGCAAATACTGCAGAAATAGAATCCATCCACACTTCCCCCCCTATAGACGGTTATTTTCCCATCATCATAAATCGTCAATTATGAGAGTGCTACAACTACCATGGGAGAGAGGTCGTCGAGAGCTTCAAAGTGATGCCTCGTACACTCCATAAAACTCAAATATTCTCACGCGCCGTCAAATTATAGGACTTGGACTCTTTTTCCCGAAACACCTCGTAGATATAAATCCACAATGCACCCATTCCGTAGACGACACAGAAGACGAAGGACTTTAGCATTCCACAACAAAGATCGAGGAGCGACTCCAGGTTCGAATCCCAGTGCTGACGTTTCTCCCATATTACTTCACTAAAGGGGCCAAAGCCGCTCCAATAGATAATTGATTTGGTCCTGTAAACACAGCAGACGGTATAATTTCACTGAATACCAATCCCTGATGCAATCGAAGCAAAATTACTCACCGCGCACAGCTAAGATTTTAACTAAGACTCCTCCTACGCAAGTAAAACATTCGGTCATCCGATAACCTCAGCCATTCACTAGATATATCAGTACAACGCACCGCGAATATTTGACGCATGCGTGCAAGATATGGCGTGTATTACCAGTATGACTGCGACGAAAACTGCCATATAAGAAGGCATCATATGACCCAGGAAAACCGGCAGGGACTCTATCGCCAATAAATTGACTAGTAGTAAGGTGACTAATAGGAGATGATGACGCGAGATCAAAGGATGCCTGAAGTATCGACACGAATGGAGCAAATATCCTAACCAAATACGCACAGCGAAGGTTTCATCATGCGGCTGACTCTCTACACCTTTTTCACTTCATGTTGAAATGGTGGGATCTCTCGTCAAGCACTTCAAATTCGAACGAAAATTTCAATATGTAGTTTAGGAAGTTCTATTTAGAAATATTCAAATACGATTTCAAGGTAATAAAAAATACCTAGTTTCAAATTATATTGGCCAAAAGTTAACTACAGAATTTGAAAAACCTGGATCCCAATTTCAAAACTTGAAATGCATGTTGAAAAACGTCAATTTAAAATTGAAGTTGGCTGAATTTAAATGCTCGACGAGAGATCCCATCATTTCAACATGAGGTGAAGAAGGCGCAGATGAATCATTTGCTGAGATGCAGGTGGCGTCCCATTAGAACATGAAAATTAGGATGACGATACACAGAAGTATTACAATTTAATAGCAGCTTCCTTCTTCCTTCTCATGTCGGCTTTATCGGCTGAGTAAAGGACATCATCCTCGCTGGATTCCATCAATACTCTGAGGTCAAAGTCATCGAGGGACACTAGACCCATTATGAGACCGGAGGCTAGGGCTGCACAGATCTGGAAATGATACGATAGAAGTTGTTGATACCACGCCCTCCTCTTATTACCACGCAAACGATCGTCATGATCGTATTGAATATAAAATGGGAGTGGTCTTGGGAGCTTCGTAGTTGACGTTGTTATATACTATTTGATTGGTCGATGGATTGAACTTTGCCGTAACGCTCCGCCAGTGATCACTATCAGTTGCTGCATAAACTGCAGTTAGTATAAGGGAGGAGGAAATGGGGATGAGCATTAATAAGAGCATTCGACCTGTTATGTATCCCATTGATGGTATCCAACCACGTGATACATTATCAACCATCTGTCACTATGCAAGTCGGTACGAAACGCAGCTCGTCAGGATATGCAGATGCTGTGATTGGAACAGTAGAAATGTGAGGTCTGCTTTGACTACCTAACGATGGCTCTAGTCACTACTGTGGGAAGCTCATCAACTGTGAACTCATTGAGCGAAGTCTCTCATTAAGAGCAACACGGTGCGGTTTATTGGTGGAGAAATACCCTACCTGGGGATCGTACCGCATCCTACCGTGGGCTGGCCCATTGAGCGGGAACTGCGTCGTCCTACATATCTGTGTGGGGGCGAGCGCTAAACGATCTCTTGTGTAGACAATGCTTGAACTACAGTCTCTGAGGACGGTGTAGGGTTGTCGAGGCACCTCTCAGCAGTACGATTTAGTTTCTCTCGACATTGGGGGAGACTAGAGATGAAGCACTAGGCTCAAAATCTGGTGCTACACAAACATCAGTGACATTCAACTGTGTTATGCTGAATACTACGGCTTAATCAGGCGAAGACCGCCTATATTGAAATATCTGTGAGGCTCCTCGCAGTGAGAGTATCATGGAAGCCGACGTCTAACTCGTCGCCTCGCCTGGAGAGTTGTTCTGGTGGGTGAGATTGAGGTTCGGAAATGTGTGTAACGCAATATGGTTAAGAATCTCTTCGAAGCACTTGAGCATCACGAAATAGTCGTGCGTCTCTATATATTCGTATGTGGTCGTAGGCTAGTTCTGTAGTGGATTGCCGACCCGTATTCCATCTTGCGCGTTATCATTCCCAGTGTGAGAGTATTTCGTGAAGATGAGGAAGAAGGCTAAAATATTGAGGATGGTTTGTGATGATATGATTGGCCCCTTGCTTTGTTGATCATCCCACATACTGTTGCATTCTCCTCAGTGGTTCTTTCCTCCTCTGATTCACCTGCCCCCTCGGGTTTTAGATCAAGTCCGTCATCATTAATTCTACTCCCATGGACGAACTTGCGTTCACCAGTGACTCGGAGCACGAGGACTACTGTTTAGTCAAAGAGATGTCTACAGTTCAACTCAGCGAATATCTATGTTATTGTTGTTTATCAGAATCATCATGTTGATATACTCTATTTTACCTTTATTATTATATGTCCCCATCATCCCGGCCTTCCCTGAGGATGATCCCATGTATTACTGTCATGAAGGTCTCAAGTGGCCGACACCACCACCTCCTAGAGAGGGAAGCACTGTGGTACTACTAACGTATTTGATACATTACTTGTCTTTCTCGAGTATCATCTCAGTGAGAGGGAAATATGCAAATGGTCAGCGACATGTGTTGGTAGCAATACGTAAATTCCGAGAAAAAATTAGTTGGTTTCTGTGCACTTGTACCCGAATTCGTATGTAAACTTCAATATTCAGTGAGGAAACTCGTGAGCTCAGCCGAGGGCAACGAGCATATATCCCAGCAACTTCTTTATGACAAGTTGTCGTAGGCAAATCGGTCTGAATGGCTATATCATCTTGGAGAAATAATACCCTGGTGATGAGTTCATGGACATGGTGTATGTACTCGTTCTTTACTACCTATTGGAATACTCCGTGGACCGATCTTGGACCCCTTTAGTCGACTTAATCGATGATGTTGCTTATTAATATACATTCATTGATTCACTTTCTATGGAATTTGCTCATCAGCATGGTTCACACCCATTAAATGCAATTGAGATTCTTAGAATCAGCACCTCGGAATTTCTTTCGGACATTTTTGGCAACCGACGTGATTGCAAATGAGAAACCTTGCTGAAATGCATGTTCGCCAGTGTGGAAGTACTCACTTGGGTTGGCTCGCTCTGGAATGTATTATTATTTCAGTCTCGAGTTGTGACTTTTGTCCGCCATGGAAGCCGAGTATTGACACAGAGGAAAGGTTGTTGGGATGCGGACCAAAACGTGTGTAGCTGTAAATTTGACCTATTCCGTATCTTGCATGCTTCAACCTCAGATACACCTGCAATAGTCAGACGTTTTCGGGCTACGAGCGGCTGGAAGGTTCTTCTTCTCCGAAGTTTCTAAGAATTCGCGGTGACCTCGGCAGCCTCCGCGGCAATTGTATATTAGGTGAAATGGCGTAGTGGTCAGTAACTCTCTCTTTGAATCCCTTGGTCCCCAGTTCAATCCCTGCTCCTCTATTTTAGGTCAATTAGTCGACTCAGGGATTGACATGCAGATAGCGAATGGAGAGGCGTTAAGAAATGCTTATGGTGAAGCCTTGAATCTTGGGGAAGTGACACACTCCTGTGCGAATGTCTATCGATTAGGGCTTTTTTGGTAGCGTCCAGAATCCCCTAAAGTGATGATCAGAGCAGATGATAGCGCGAGAACGATCGAAAGTGCTCAAGCGTTAACGATGGGCATGTTCCCCAGCGCTGACGGTAATATTTGTAAGGAATTTCATGGCGCGCGGTCGTCTTTAACATCCGTTTAACATCGAGCTTTCGAATTTGTCTTGGTATTGGTGTATCTCCCATCTGAATTTGAATTCACTCCTCTGTTCAGGTGATAATTCTACGTTTGAAATTGTCGTACCGGACCGGGCTGTAGATGCTATGGAACCGAATGCGGACGTAGGTTGCTTCTGATGGCGTTATGAAGCATTGTAATTTTGTGGCGCGGTGACGGAATTCCCCGAGCAGTCTTTCTTAGATCTGTCCAGCGCTCACAGCAGCGGAAGAGGTCTTCCTGAATTCGCCGGAAGCTGGAGAGCATGTGAGAAATTCAGAAAAAATGCGGGAAAAAATTGGAAAAATTACTGGGCGCGGTGACGCTTGGACGAACAGCGACCCAGCTAATCTTAACGAGATATATGGAGGGATGCTGGTGATATGAGTTTGGCGTTGAGGAAATGCAAGATTGCAAGATTCTCAGGATTGTCTGATGAGTCATGCTTGCTCCACAGTACCAAGTGAACCGAAAGAGCTGCCTACTGGGTTGGAGGTTGGCGGTGATTTATGGAAGCATATAGTGGAAGAAGCGACGTGAGCCGGGTTCGAACCCGGGACCTTTGGATTAAGCTTGTAGGTTCTGGTCGATCGGTCGATACCAAGTTTCCCTGGACTTACTTCGATATTCGATTGGACCATTAATACGAGTGAGCAGCTATTTGTAGTGTGTCTGGTGTGGTTTTATTCCGGTCGACCTCTATAGTAGTGGGAAATACTCACTCCTGTTCGGCTTAGGACATCTTCGATGATCTGACAACGCCGGCTCGCAGCTTCTCTCTCTATTCCGGCCATGATACGGGTCCGATGGCCGAGGTGCTTGCTGCATTGGGACTGCGATGTAATGGGAAATTTATTCCGTTTATGTGATTTTCTCTCCCCTGGTTTTGGGCATCACCTCTCACGATCGTATCATCTGCACAGAGCTCCTTGTACTAGCGGAGTTCGTCGCTACGCTTTTGAAAGAGTCGGAGCTAAATGGGAGAGTTTTCCAAAGAAGATATTCCCAAACTCACGGGCCGTATAGCGGAAGCCCGTACGAGAGTGGCACATGGGTTATGAATGAAGCTAATGGTATAGACGTGGAAAGGCCACTGTGGGAAGACGGAGCTATGTGATAAGATGATGTCGAATAAATATGTGAATTTTTCACGCACGATTATGTGGATGTAGTATAGAAGTATTGAATATCCGAATAATATGATGGCGCTGCAGTGATGGTTGTGGTGTAGTGAGGAATGCTATTCTGTTCAGGGGAAGATTCGGGAAGCTTGTGTTCATCGATTTGGCCAACATTTGGGTCGATGCTGATACTGGAAGTTTATTCTGACAATCTAGCGAGGTTCATATACAATGGACGAGTAGCAACAGCAGATGGTGTTGAGGGATGCCAAGGCGAGTAAGATCCGCTTTAGTCTTGATCCATCGATTTTAGGAAATGCAAAATTGACGTTGTTGGTTTCAGGACCGTGTGTAGCATGGCGACGATCTTGGAACATCTACGTACCTTCGTCCCAGAGGAGCAAGAGTGTCAGAATCGATCAATCGATCGATTTGGGTTGAGCCGCTCCTCGATGGTGTTTCTAGTATCGTCTGGTGTAGTTATCACAGGCTTACTTATAGCCGGGTGTTGTTTCATTTTTGTGGCGCGCGGTAAGAAAAATAGGAAGTGGATCAATCTGGAGGAGGGGGAGTCATTAAAAGGGGTAAATTGAGTGACAATGATAATGAAGAATCTCCGACGACGACGACGACGACGACGACTGTTGTTGTTGAGCTTCATTCATTTATCCAAAGGGATTGAGTTCTCTAGTGATCATCAATGGATTCCACAGACATGATAGATCTCAGCAGCCTAGCATCATACTTGAAGATACTCTCACTAGAGTAGCTTAGCATATGGGGTAGAGTCTTGTCAATAGGTGTGTGTGATTTCTTGTCCCTCTCCCGGCATTATCACGATGATGATGAAGTCCATGCTGCAGATAGTGACTGTTGGCTGTTACTTTGGCGTCATGTTAGCTTTCCTTGGTAGTAACACTACTAACGGGTTCATTCTATCTGCTATCTGATCTGTGAGATCGCTCGAAATTATTGTGGTTTTTCTCCAGGGGCAGGCGTCGCGAATCTTGCATGTGTGTATAACGTGGCTCCATCGGATCTGCAGGCGTATCTTCCAGCGGTCTATGGTCACTTCGCCAAGACTGGGTTCATGAAGGTAGAGGGTTCATGAACAGTTGTCGCGCGCCACGAAATTATTACCTGCTGCTTCTTCTTCAGAACGCCATGAAGATGTGTGGGATCGCTACCGCGCCGCAGCTTATGAAGGTTATGGGATTCGCGCACATCGCTAGTGTGATGAGTATCTTCTTCCAGCCGATTGTGGGGGCGATGTGGATGCTAATCACGATGATTGGTGCCGAGTAGGTCTCGGGTTCGATACCCAGGGGTGGTCGTTTAATAAACAGATTCTGAAACTTATAATCCATCCCGGAATCGCCTCTTACACGTATTATACGATGATAGAATCGATTATAGAATTGATTCAATGTACATGGGGCCAGCGGAGGTACTTTTTGAGTCATTCGTTGACTTAGTTGTGTGAGCTCAAGTGGGGTGACGCAGAGTAAACCTCAATGTTGTTAATAGACTTCATTCACTAGATGGTTGTAGCAGATTGTGCAAATATCTTGAGGTTGACCATGCTCTTCATGATGTGCTAAGATACGTTTCTCGTCGCGCATTGGAGATTCCTGGGATGCCCAATGCAGACTTGTGTGGTAAAGCCTCACCCACATGCATGGCAACTGTGGGCCTGCACCTTACCCTCGGAATAATGTCTATCGTGGTACGTGTTGTTGTTGTTAGTTATGTTTATCTTGCAATCTTGGTCCGCCTTGCATTTTCTCAGGTTCTGCTTACTGGTACTCCCGTGTGTAAGTACTGCGTCCAGGTCTTTGGTGCATCCAAGAAAGACAAGTCAGAGTAATGTCTGATGGAAGTCATTAGTCAGGAATATTTTCAAAGCGTGTCTCAATAGATGAACATGTTGGTTTTGGGTTGTCGTGGTTGTTGAGGTAGCTGTAGTAGCGTTGTGTGCTCCTGTCCCCTTCCCGTGCTGCTGGCTGCCTGTATGTTTTGGTATTTTCCCCAACCGGTATTATACAGGTTGTTAAGTGATCTTGTTATGGAAGTCTGAGGCCACTCTGGAACAGCGCAACTGCGGGAATAGGAATTTATCCCCGAATCGATTTCAGTTTGGTTTGGTTCGCTGTAGTCCGTAGATTGTCGAGAACATGAATTGGTAGTGGTGACTCTTGTGTAATATTATCACGTAATAATGTCATCATCATCGTCTGGGAGCAGCAAGACCACGACTTCGATGGCCGTGCTCATTTCCTTTGGCATTTATATAGGCATCTTCGCTGGTATGGTCCTAGCCTATTGTCTGGTTAAACATAAAGCTCCGAAGCTTTATAATTGTCGTGATAATATCCCTGAGTTAAGGTGTCCACTTTCGGATAGAAAAACTGGTAAATGGTCGTGGATACGCGACGCTGTGTTGACAAGCGACGATGATCTTATGCGTTATGCTGGCCTGGATGCAGCAGCGTTTATACGACTTCTGAAAATGGGGATAAAAATCTCGTTAGTGGGATGTTTTAACTCAATATTCCTCATCCCTATATACAAATACCAAGATCGCAATGATGGGTCTAACGAAAGCGATACTATGCAGTCGTGGAGTCTAGGTAACCTCCTCAATGGTGACTCGGCGATGATCGCTACCCTCTTGGCATCTTATTTATTCTATGGTTACTCTATGTATCTCATTTATCATGAGTTTAGTTGGTATCTACGCAGACGTCATGAATTTCTGGCTCGCAAGAGTTTGGAAAATTACACGATATTTGTGCGTGGCCTGCCGCAGGAATTGCGTTCGAATCAAGCATTGAGGAATTTCTTCGAGGAAGTCGCCCCTGGGAAGGTATTGGATGCTCGAGTGGCTCTGGACATTGACGATCTGGAGAAGCAGGAAGCAGATAGGAGTAAGATTATACCCAAGCTGGAGCATGCTTATAATGTTGCCGAATATGAGGGGGAGCGTCCAGAGATGAAGATTAAGATGTGTGGTAAGGAGAAGATGGACACTATCACAGTGTTGGAGAGACGACTAGCTGCATTGAATCGATATTGTGAGAAGACTGTCCGATCAGCGGAGGACTTCCAAGAGAAGGCTGATGAGCTCTTCCGGGAGCAACTGGAGGAAAAGGAGAAAAGGGAGGAGGAAGCTGAGCGGGGGTTGAGTAAGCAGTTGATTAATCTAACGAAGGCCCCTGTGAATATCGTTAAGGATGTTGCTGATATAGTACCTCTACCCAAGGCTCTAATGCCGACTAACCTTCTACCCTTTGGAGAGAAGCCTGCCTTCCAGACTAGAAGTGACGGTTTTGTAACTTTCCGTTCATTAAAGGCCTCTATGTCGGCTTTACAGATGGTGCATTCAGCTACACCATTCAAGTTGTATGCTATGCCTGCTCCCCTGCCAGATGACGTGTTCTGGGATAATGTAGGTGTACCTCATATGAGGCAGGAATTGGGTATGCTACTCTCTATCTCTCTAACGGTTGTCTTATGTGTGTTCTGGACGGTACCTGTGGCTTTCGTATCGTCAGTATCACAAGTCCAAAACTTAAAGAGAGAGTTGCCATTCTTGGAGACCTGGTCGGAGGCCTGGCCCGGTATTGATGTGCTACTACAGCAGATCTCCCCTATTCTGTTGTCTGTTCTCAACTCTTTATTGGTTGTTTTCTTGAAGTTATTCTCTCAGCTTGAGGGCCACATTTCCAACTCTACCTTGAGCGCCTCATTGTTTGCTAAGTTAGCGGCATTCTACATTATACAGACCTTCTTCGTTAGTGCTATAGCTGGTAGTCTTCTGGCGAGTCTACATGAGCTGAGTGTCGATCCTTGGGGTACTATCCAAGATATTTTGGGTAACAACCTCCCCCAACAGGCTAACTACTTCATGTCCTTCGTATTTGTCCAAGTTGGACCCCCACTAGGCTCGGAGCTCCTACGATACACACCATTAATAAAAGCACTTGTTCGGAAGAACATTGGTCCGAGGTTGACGGAGAAGGAGAGGAGTCAGGCCTTCTTTGGCCTGGAGCCCTTGAGTAACCCTGTGACATTAGATCAACCTAAGTTGTTGTCCACGGTTATGCTCTTCTTCATGATTCTCTTTGTTTACGCTGTAACGTCTCCTTTTGTTTCTTTCGTAATGGCATTTGCCTTTGCTTGTGAAGCTGTTATATACAAGAATCAATATGCATTCATATATGATCCAAGTAATGATAGTGGTGGACAGATGTGGACTAGAGCCATGCGGTTCATCATATTCTGTGAGATAGTAGCCGAGATTACAGTTATGGCTGTGCTAGCTATCAAGGAGGGTGCGGTCGCTTCTCCTCTTATGATTCCTCTCTTTATTGCTACTATATTATTCTGGCTCTATCTAGAGCAACAACACTTCCGAGTAGCTGTGTATTTGCCATCAAGGACGTGTGTGGAGGTAGACTCGGCTAGGGATAAGTTGGCCGAGATTGATTTCGATGCTTGGTTTGGTGCATATCGACAGGAGGCTCTCAAGGTGCCCTATGTCCGACCAGAGATACCACCGAACCAGCATCCACCTGAGGAGCTTATCGAAGCAGGCCTGGGCCGTCTCCCCTCCCCCCTCTCCTCCTCGTCTTCATCATCGTCTACACTTGGCTCGGACGGGTTCGTTACTCCTATCAGTCGCTTGCCTAGCACGACTCCACCACCTAACTCGTCTGATAGCATCAGGAAACAGTCGTCAGATGAGGCAATACCACCATCCGAGGCTTCTATCGAGAATCCTCATAATCACTGAATATATGTATGAAAATGTATCATTAACGACTATGTTGTTGAATACTATCCGAGCTTCTGGGATGTCCAAAGCACATCGCCACTTACGTTTCTATCCTTCTCGATAACTTCGACTCGTGTTGGAGATTAAATTCAGGGGGGATAATCGGAGTTAATTTCGTGGCGAGTGACGGAACTCTGCTATACTCATGCGGCAACAGGCATCAAAGAGGTGATTACAGGTGGTTGTTATTCTCGATCGGAGGGTTCTATTCCATGTTGAGTACTGAAGTGAATTCGTCAAGTGTCGGAAGTGATAAATTAGATTTGGTTTACTCTCAGTGAGCCATCTTTTTGATGCTGCTTGTTCGCCCAAGTATCTTAGGTCTCGCACGCGGAAGATTCAACAATATAGCTCAACGATGGGTTGGATGTTGTCCAGGTGGAACGCAGGTGGTGGTGGTGATCTGAGCTGGAAGTTGGAACTAATGAGATACTTTCAGGTTGTGTATGAGGTCAATGTAAAATGCCGAGACAAGGAGACAGCTGAAAGATTCTTCGGATGGCTGGTCAATCAAGGTCATGTCGCGGAAGTTGTTAAGAATGAAGGATTCTCTTCGGCTGAGGTACGACACTTCTAGTGAACATCATGGAATAGGCGGTTATTATAATTTCGTGGCGCAGTGACGGATTCGCCAGGTTTTTACGGATGTTGAGGATGCCCGTAAGTTGGTTGCGAGATATGTAGTTGACAGTGTGGAAGATCTAGATGCGTACTCTAGCGGTCCTGGGGTAGTGAAGGAGGTTAGTTGGGGGTCTCACAGAGTGAAAGATGCTGAAGATGTGATACCGAAGGTTTATCAGATATAGCACACTATTTCAGATAGCACTCAAGAAAGAAGGCATTGAGAAATTTGGTGACTCTTTTACGGCGACGAGGAGAGTTTTACGTAGCGCTCATACGGTTTACAAGTGAGGCCGCAGGTTCGATCCCAGGCAGGGTCATTTTTGTTTCATGCCGCTCCGGGATAGTGAGGTTTTGGGTTGACAGTGAAGTTCTAAATGGGTGTGTGAGGAAGTGTTGGAAAATAGGAATGCATCTGAGGTACCACTCGAACAGGAGGTTAAACACGCATATCATTGAATTGAGGATATCATTGTTAATTCTGTGTGACAGGAAGTGAGCAGCAAGTGGTTTCATTCACTCCTTTAACGATGATTTCCGAGGTAGGAGTCCTCACCTTGCCAAGTTAAAAAGCCTGGGAGGTTATTTCATAAGTTCCTCAATGTCAAGAATAAAGAGTCTGGCCTTAAAAATGTCGGGGGTATAGTGAAGTTAAAAATGAGCGAGTTATTGCGAAGCAGTTGTCAACGACTTTGCATTGAAGTCGCACACAAATCTGAACCTTCTAAGAGGATTATGTGTTTTCCTGCTAGTAGAAATCAATTAACACGAGCAAGCTCATGAGCATGTTGGACGAAGGTTCTAACCTTGAGGATGAGTGCGCGAAATTGCGGTATGTAACTTAGACCTCATAACCCGGTTAGCTCTTACTCGAGTTTCTCAGTGGGTGTAAGGCGGGGGACGATGAGAGATTTTAAGGAGGCAAGATCTCAAGATTATTAGTTCCTCTTTTCCTTCTTGCAGTATTCATTAAATTCCGATGACCTCCACCGACACCGATACGTAAGCAGATTTACTCGACCACGGCTCTACGGAAGGCTTTGTCACATACTATGCGTGTGGCTTTGATTCGCCATAATTCTCCTCCTCCTCGTCCTCTCCACCGTGACATGTTCCTCTATTCTTGAGTTCCCTCAGGTCGTCTGTTATTCGCTGTACGTCTAAGCACTCAGCCAATTTCTACATCCGAGCCGTCCAGAACTTCCTAAAAGGCATGCCGGTAGTAGTACTATTATTTTATCGGTATCAGTGGTGCTCGTTATACCATGGTTTTTCTTTGGAGTAAATGCCGCCACCTGTTAGTTGTTGTTGCTTCTAGCCCCTAGGCGTCCTCATCTCTTATCATCATGCGTCTGCTTAATACTTAGGGTACTTCTCACCGAACTGTGCTACTATGCAGGGTGCCTTTTCTCACGTGTGTCACTATTCCCGGTTAGATCGATAGGCTTTCCATACCGCACTAGCATAGACGACGACCCAACAATACTTTCCCGAGGTTTCTTCAATGAGGTGTCATTATCATGTTTGGCTCATATTGAATGCTGTTTATGAGTTTGTGGAGATTACAATGATGTTGTACGTTGTTCCCTCAGGCCAAGGGTGAGCTCCCTGCTAAAATGCCAATCGATCGTGTACAAGTGACCGGCCTAGCCGCGGCTATCACCTATGCAGTAGCTGCTGCTACCGCAACGCAGTCGGCAGGGGTTGGCAAGATAGTTAGCATAAAGACTGGTGTGGTCATGGTCCAACCTGATCGTCCTGTGGGGAGGTCCGCCGCCGAGGAACATGGTAAAAGGGGGATTCGAACTCGCGTCCTCGCGAGTGTCAGATTGTTTAACTAACTATCATGCTATTTACTTCCATTCCTTGTCGTTAGCCGACGCACAATCATCTTCCTTGTTGTCGGTTTTCTAAGACTCCCGTATTTCACTTTCGTCGTTATATTCATCCGCCTCATCAGAGCTCTCTTCGCTAAATTTCCCGGTTCTCGGCATCAGGCAGATGCATCCACGTGATGATCCGATGATGAGATTTATTCTTACGGGGTATCTCTTGAATGAAGGTGGTTCGACTAATCTAGTCTCTACTGCCTTAATAATCTCGATCCGCAAGTCTGTTGTTGGCGTATAGTTCTTCATCAGGTGTGCCCAGTATTAGTATTGTTATCGAGCGTGTAGTAGATAGTGGTGAAGATGCAATGAAAAAGGAGGAGGCCGCTGGTGAGCCCGTTAAGAAAAGCGATTGACTTCCTTTGTTGGAGACTTAGTCGAGTCTCGTGTACTCCTGATATGTTTTTTATCTGTTCTCGAGCGCAAGTATGGAATGCTTGATCTATATGCGATCTTCATAATTTCCTTATGACTTTCTGTTGCCGACCAGACGGCGAGTTGAGTTTTCCCAGGCTCTGTCAGGTCACTACTACTTCAAGTTGGTTCACGAGTGATTGCGCTCATCTCGTCATATCATTCGTGCGATGAGATTGTGTCCGGGTTGGAAAAGTGCCACGTCTGAAGTGTTTCCACAGGGTAGATTTGTACTTGTCGGTGCAAATGTCGAATACAAAGCCCAAGGGAGAGAGTTATGGTATATTAGTAGTATTGCGAGTCATTAAGTCATCCGTTTCAGCTGTTGTTATTATTTCCGTGTCTATGGCCCGCAGTAGCCGTAGTAGAAGTAGCAGCAGGAGCAGGAGTGGCTCGTCCCGCAGTGGAATTAACGGCGACAGAAGGTCCAAGTCGCCGGCGGCGGGGGCGGGGGCGGCATCTGATAAGTCTCCAAAGGAATCCTCTGAGGTGAAGGAGACGGTGGAGAAGAGGAGACCACCGAGTCGGAGTCGATCCCCAAGTGATCCAAGGGAGAGGAGGCGTCGAGCTGATAGGGAGGATTTGGACACTTGTATTGCGCACGCCGTAGAGAGAAGCAATCTTTTAAAGCGGGAGGATTTCACTGAAGATCGATTGACCATGAGGAATCTCGAGGGCTGTTATTCGAGATATGGTGGATCTTTTGTGGTTGAGCTCATTGAGGAGGTCCTCCACTCGGTTGGGTTCGATGTGAGAGATCGAAGGGACATCTTGGTCCCTCACAAGTTCGCTGGTATCCGAGTTAATAGGATCATGCGCTATATGGAGGATGAACGAAGGAGATCGGGGCCGCCTAGGAAAATATCGGTGACGAAACTGATGGAAAAATGTGAAATTACTGACGATAAGATGGAGGAGAAGTTGAGATCGCTAACACAACGTCAATTGAGGAAGATATGCGAGGAGGTTGGTGAGGGAGAAGAAGGTAGGAGACGGTTGGAGGATAGGTTGGACATGAGCAGGTCAAAGAGTAGGAGGGGACGACATAGGAGCCGATCTCGATCCTAGAGAGTAGTACTAGATTATTATTTTCCAAAATGTGCTGTTGTTGAGTTAATATAGATCTTCGTCGGAGCTGTTTTGATCTTGCTTCGCCAGGGTCCTTTTTATGAAATTCCATTATAATGTTGTTCTCTCTCCTCCATCATTGATGGAGGTGGCCCTATCGAGTCAAAGTCTTTCTTCTCCAGTAGGATCGAGTAAGATGAATGTAAATTATCCAGACAATGCTCCTGGTTTATTCTGAGGCAACTCCTATTTCTACATATTGCTGCTCTTGGTAGCTCCTCACTAAATGGATTCCATTTGTTGCTATAAAGGGCTTTACTACCGGGCTCACGTATTAGCAGGATTCGCAGTAGTTGTAGAGTGCTCAGTGTTGACATCGCAGACCGGCATCAGTCTCGATTCGGTGCTTCTCTCGGGGAGCTTATCCTGTGTAATGGATTTTGTGGTATCTGTCAGTTTCCACGGTTATTCTCGAGTAGAGAATCTTGAATGCCAGCTCGATCAGGGTCACGCTCGAGATCTCGCAGTAGCAGCAACAGCAGCAGCAACAGCAGAAGGAAGAGTCGTTCTAGATCGAGGCATAATGATCGATCATCAAGGCGAGCGCGAACGTCTTATGAGCGTGTAGAAGATATTATTGAGTCGAGCCTAGGCAACTCGAGGATAACCCTTTATGTCGAGGACTTTACTGATGACCGGGATGTGGTCGAGAGTTTACTATACTGTTTTCGGATGCGGGGATCACAATTCGTAGGAGATGTTATTGACGACGCTATCGAGTCTATCTCGAGGGATTTCCGCAGTCGTAGAGAAGTAACTCATCCGAGTCGGTTGGTAGCAGCTCGAGTGAAGCGTTCTATTAGACGTAGAGATGAAGGGCTATCGCCTCGGCGGCTGGGGCGGCGGAGGAGTCAGAGAGAGCCTTCCAGATCTCGATCACTCTCGGGAGTGAAGCCTGGTAGGAGGGTCGTTGTAGAGGAGTTTGCTCGAAAGTATGGTGTTGATGCTGAATGCGAGATGAGGTTGAAAAGGTTAAGTCAGGATCAGCTACAGAGAGTATGTGGAGGCGATCTTATCATCCATCGTGATTGTAGAAATGTTAGTAGTTTGATTATGGCGAGAATTAGAGATGAGATGCAGGGGAGATTGCCGGATGTGGCAAGCAGAAGTGATTCAAGGAGTAGATCCAGTCCAAGGAGGTCGGACAAAACTTGACCTATTATGTATCTCTACTGCACCGAGGTTGGATTCTTATGATTTTATGATTACGGAGGTGGGGAATACTGGTAGTCTCGAACATATCAAATTTGTCGAGTTTGGGAGGGGGAAATTCGTTGTCGAATAGAGCAGGATAGAAAGTTAGTCCGTTGTGTAGATGCCATCAGACAGCATCAATGCCTCACACTTAGGATCAATCATCGCACTACAGTGCCACCCTTACTGACGTTATCGCGTCTCAGTATTTCTTCCTCTCCTCATTTGCTGTTTCCATATTCGTAATGGCGCGTAGGAGCCGTAGCAGAAGCAACAGCAGCAGCATCAGGAGCAGCAGTAGCCGTGGTCGTCGCTCTGATGTCTCTAGGAGTCGCTCGAGAAGTGGATCTCGTCAAGGTCGTAAGGAAAAGGGTCGTTCTGAGAAGAGAGCGAGGTCGGATTCTAGAGACCGCAAATCTCCGTCAAATCGCAAATCTTTGGACCGTGATTACTCCCCGCGACACAAGGATTCCCGTTCGAGATCTACTGAGAAGAGTCGTTCTAAGGAGGTGGTGGTTGATGATGATGGTCGATCTGCATCGAGAAGTGTGGAGAAGTCGCGATCGAAGAGTCGCCAGGTTATCGATGATAAAGAGAGTGAGAAAAGATCTCGCAGTAGGTCTATGTCGAGCAGGAAGGATGCTACCTCCAAGGAACGTAGGGCGTCTCGTTCTAGATCACAATCGAGCAGTGACGTGAGTGATGTTGATAGAACCAAGCCTAGGATGAGGAGAGATAGTCGTGCTGATAGTCGGGTTGGTGAGATTGATAAAGTCATTGGAGAGGTCGTGGAGGATGCTATACACAAGCAACGTATTGTTGAGGCGGAGGATTTCCTTGAGGACTCACTGACGATGAGATTGTTGTATTCTGTCTTGGATAGGTCTGGTAGAAAATTCCTAGAGGATGTCCTCTACGAGACGGTCCATTCGATCAATCAGGATGTGAGATCTCGCAGGGACATCAGGATTCCTCAGAAATATGTTGGTATACGCGTGAAGAGGGTGGTCCAGAGGAAGGAGGATGATATGGCATTCAGGCGTAGGGTCGTGGCGCGTGATAATAGATCCAGAAGGAGGGAGCGCTCTTATTCGAGGTCTTCTTCGAGGTCGAGAAGTCGTCATCATAGGATCTCGGTGTCGGACATGTGTGACCGCTACAGTCTGGACGCGGAATGCGAGGACAGATTAAGGGAGCTCAGTCAGGAACAGCTGTCTCGTGTATTTGGACCGGATCTGCTTATCCGTG